GGCTCTGCGCTCCCATTTCATCCCCCTTACTGGAATAGCCAAACTAACCCCAGAACAGCTGGAGCAATCCTATGGCCACTTGAATTCGTGCCCAGCTCACAGAAGTGAAGGAGCTGGTGCAACGCGGAGAGCTGGAACACAGCTCATTCCTCCATTTCCTATGCTGGGAACTGGCTCGGAGCATTAAGAAAAGCTACATACTCAAGCAGTTCCCACAAGAAACCAAGAGCTGGGCCCTAGGCTTTTCTGGCTGAAAAAACTTGAGGGGCACTTGCTGTGGGGAGGGAGGAAAGAAGAGCAGAGGACTTCACTTAAGTATTCCACAGGCTGGAAAATTGCCTTTGCATTTCAGAAGATACTTCAATTCTCTCCAAGGCTGCAGACGGTCATTTCATTACAGTGCAGTACTAATCCAGTCCTTGACATGACTGGCTGACCAGCATATATTTTAACTGGAGGGAACTGAGTGTTTTGGCTCGCCTGTCTCCCAGCGGTCCGGTCAAAGAATTACGGTCTCTGGCTTCACTTGCACGGATTGCAATTGTGTTCAGTGATCTTTTGAAAGCAAGGAGCCAAGGAGACCACGCACATGCTGAAGGAACCAGCTATAGTTCCCACAGACCCTGAAACAACGTTTTGCTTTCCCTCCCAGGTGGAAATGCCATCACAGACTGGCCTAGCACAGTGGTTCTCAACTTTTCTGAGGGGCGCCTACAGTCGAAAAAAAAATACCAGCTCTTGGCTTTCACTCACATTTTGACTACAGAAAATTCTTCTTTTGCAAAGAACTCAGAATGTCTTTAACACCATGGAGTCCTATTGGAAATCTCTGGGTGTCTTGTGAAGCATGTCTGCATCCTGAACATTGCTTGACACGCCGTGGCACCCTCAAAAGGATCACAAGGAAATCTAGGGTGCCACGGCACCTACTTTGACAATCCCTGATCTAGTATAATGGGTGTTGCGGCAGAAAAAGTGCGGTAACAAGAAGTCACCAAAGGAAAGGGCTGAGATGTGATCGTTATGAGCCTGATGGAAAGCCTCCTGGCTCCTGATTGTGCCAGCACTGTGATGCCCTGTTGAAGAGAAGCAGTCAGAAAAAGAAGTAAACACCACCTGCCATGGAAAGGTGGAGGAAGGCAAGAGTGATATACCCGGGGGGAGACCTAGATCAGGGTTACCGCATTATATTCCACTAACACCTGGGGTAAACTTCACCACATGGCTTCTCCCACAAGGATAATATCTGCTAAACACATACTCCAGAGCACAAGGCTTCCAAAACAGGACTACGCGCCAAACAATGCCTCCTGGCACTGCTGCTAGAGCAATCACTGCTTTTATAAAGCTGTCGCATTTGGTACCCTATAAAATACTTGAAACACAATTAGCGTGGCAGACTATCTTTGACTGCTTCCCATAAAAGCTAAAAGGGAAAGCGAATACCATTATGTGCCACCACTGCCATCGTAACCGTCCAAGATGCAAGCTCCGTCTCTGAAGACGTTGAATACTTTATAGCACAATCTCTCAAGCACCTCTAAATCCTCCTGGGAGTTACGTGTGAAGAAAGCACAACGTGCACCACGTGTAAACCACAGACACCCTTACAACAGAATCGAGTTGTTTTCCAGCTCAGGAAAGAAAATTGGTAGTGGAGTCCAAGGAGGTACTGCAAGCAACTGAGTAATAAAATTAAAGCTTTGCTATGGTAAATCCATCTGCTGCTCGGGGAGGGCGAGGTATACCTTTTTAATTCCCAACAGCACAAAAGGGAAGAGGGAAACCAAAGGACACTCCAGAAGCAAGAAGCGTGTTGACTATCAGAGTTCCAGCCGCCACGTATGTGAAAGGTTTTCTAGACTAGCACGAACTTTGGTCCTAACATGCAAGCAAGGCTTTGCCAAAGAAATTTCTTGAAACATCTGGCATCCCCAACCAGTGACAGACAGTCTAAGCTCTTCTCTTGTTACTTCCTAGACCTTTATACAAGCGCTGCGGTGCTAATAGCTTGCCGAACCCCTGCTAAGATTTTCTGCTACCCTTGGAGGAAATCCAGTGCACAAAGACTTTCAGCAACACGCCTTCCAGATCTTTTAATACAGTTATCCTGACTGCAAAGTTAAGCCTTTGAAACTTGTCAGTAAGTGGAAATATTAAAAAAGAATTCTGCTGCTCAGAGGATGGTGAAGAAAACATGACTAATTTCCACCCACTCCTGTGTTTCATCACCCCAGCTCATGAATGCAAACCTTCTGGTGAAGCAAAGAGGTTGCGGTGAAGAACAGACTGACATGCATTAGAAATATCCAGCCTAATAAATTGTTAGTCACAGTCAAAAGGAACCGAAGCAGAATTGCAGGTTGCAAGCAAGATCAAAACCATTAAAGTGAATTTCAAAGCTAATGCTCGCTCTTCAGCCTTCGCATCATTGCTCTCAGCTGACTTTCACAGCATTAGATGGAGTTGAAAGACGGGGCGGCGGGGGAGTCTCACACTGCACTTCCATCCTTAAAGTTAAGACAAGTCAGTTAAGTCTGGGATGCAGAGGTTTACATTTTAATTTGCTTTGGAAAAACCAAAATTGAGAAAGAAACGCAAAGGCCTGAGAGGTAGAAGACCTGCCAACCGCCCCCCTCAAAGACTTCATATTTATTATTTAAATAGGGATTTGTGTTTTTCAAATGGCAACAGCAGGTCTTGATGCCTCGTGAACCAATCTCCTTTACAGCACAGATTCAAAAGTGCAGCCTATTACGGTTGTTGATATGTGTCTGGTTGTTCAGATCCTGGGGAGGTGGAAGTCGAGCCTTAATTGTGAGCCAAACTGCATGCAGCCCTCCCACAAACTGCAGTACAAAGTGCCCTTGTGCACCTGCAGGGAAAACCTGGCTCTGAAAAGGCTTGCTTGGACCATAAGAAGCATAATTTAGTCAATACTTTGTAGCCCTGTAGCTCAGCATTTTAAAGAGAATGGATTTTATTTTTTAACCATAGTCTACCAAGGTAAAAATATTGTGCAGGAGGCTGCATGATCCAGCAGCATTTTAGCTACAGGACTTAATAACTCAGCCATTAGGAAGTGCAATCTTGGAGATAAGTACAGCAGCAAACATAAGTGGTCTTCTGGCAGAAAGGGAAGCTTGACTCCTTCTTTTTCAAGAAAAAATCCCCTTAGTTTGGGGGGAACATAACTCTGACAAACTCCTGAAGCTAGGTGGGAACACTGACACCATTGCAGAGATGATCAACACTACAGGCACCGTGGTAGAGGAAGCCATAAATCTCTTTAAAACACTTCTCCAAAGCCAGTACCTGTCGAGAGGACGTGGAGTCTGAAGACTCGGTGTATCTGATGAAGTAAGCTGTTGCCTACAACACCATGTGCCTCTGAATGAGTCGGTCTCCAAGGTGCCACCTTGCCCTGCCTTGCTATACCAATAAAGCAGGGGCCCAAAATGTTTTCCTACAAGTGCCTGCCCCGTTCCCCACCACCTTCCCCCTGCAAAGAGGCCAGACGCCTGCACACTGCAGCTTCCCAGCCCCTCTGCAGCCAGGATTAGCCAAGACAAGGTGAAGCAAGCCCTACAGCCGAGGGGAGCTCTGCGGAGGGGACAGGAGGCAGCCCCGCTACATGTCAGCCTGGATCGGACCTCTTGACGGGCCACAGGTTGTTGATCCTGGCTGTAGAGGGAAGCACACTTTACTTTTTGATCCCCCGATACATCCTGCT